TTAACGGGTTTCCCTGCCAGGATTGCAGTCTGTAGGATTAACATTTCAAGGATGAGATTCAGACAGCAAGTACAAATCCTGGAAACCCACATAAACCATACAGCAGTTATATTAGGGCGAAGCACACTGTTACACAGTAAACTGTAGTCCAGTGTGGGACACTGTTACACAGTAAATTGTAGTCCAGTGTGGGACACTGTCACACAGTAAATTGTAGTCCAGTGTGGGACACTGTCACACAGTAAACTGTAGTCCAGTGTGGGACACTGTTACACAGTAAACTGTAGTCCAGTGTGGGACACTGTTACACAGTAAACTGTAGTCCAGTGTGGGACACTGTCACACAGTAAACTGTAGTCCAGTGTGGGACACTGTCACACAGTAAACTGTAGTCCAGTGTGGGACACTGTTACACAGTAAACTGTAGTCCAGTGTGGGACACTGTCACACAGTAAACTGTAGTCCAGTGTGGGACACTGTTACACAGTAAACTGTAGTCCAGTGTGGGACACTGTCACACAGTAAACTGTAGTCCAGTGTGGGACACTGTCACACAGTAAACTGTAGTCCAGTGTGGGACACTGTCACACAGTAAACTGTAGTCCAGTGTGGGACACTGTTACACAGTAAACTGTAGTCCAGTGTGGGACACTGTCACACAGTAAACTGTAGTCCAGTGTGGGACACTGTCACACAGTAAACTGTAGTCCAGTGTGGGACACTGTCACACAGTAAACTGTAGTCCAGTGTGGGACACTGTCACACAGTAAACTGTAGTCCAGTGTGGGACACTGTTACACAGTAAACTGTAGTCCAGTGTGGGACACTGTCACACAGTAAACTGTAGTCCAGTGTGGGACACTGTTACACAGTAAACTGTAGTCCAGTGTGGGACACTGTTACACAGTAAACTGTAGTCCAGTGTGGGACACTGTTACACAGTAAACTGTAGTCCAGTGTGGGACACTGTTACACAGTAAATTGTAGTCCAGTGTGGGACACTGTCACACAGTAAACGGTAGTCCAGTGTAGGCGGGGCTGTAATTAATGGTATATAAAAAGAAAGAAAAAAGAGATATAGAGCCCACGAACAAGTGGAACGTCAGAGAAAGTCTACAGTAGTATCAAGTGTCTGTGGTCAGGATGGCCAGAAAAGTGAAAAACCTGAACATCTGAAGTGGGAAAAGAGAAAGGAAAAGATTAGATTGTTTTTTATGATTTCCAGTTACCAAGAGATTTTAAACATATGATTATTGTTATTTCTGGTAATAGGTATCTACTTTGCCTTTCTGGCATTAAAATAATCTTCTCTTTAAATTCTCCTCTTTTTTTTTTTTTTTTTTTGCTCCACCAGATTCCAGTTAAAGAGCATGATTGACTATTTTTATGTTATTACCTGTGAAGCATATGTCCTAACATTTTTCGAAATCCCTGACTTTGTTGTTGCTGTTGTTAGGAAGTTGTGGTAGCATGGTGGCTATCATGTTTGCCTGTCATTCCTATGGCTTAGTATTTGAAACCTCCATTAAAGCAGGATTTTTTAAAATGAGCTGCTTCCTAGGTTAACCCAGCCTAAATGAGCACTAGAAAATTGTATGGGAAGTAAAAGGGGCAGATAGTGAGCATCTCACCCATTAAGTGTTGATTAGTCTCTAAAAATACTGGGCTGGCCTGTTTGTATGCTGAATCAAAACCAGGTTGCATCTTAAGTCTTTCGGCGCTTGAAGTATCAGGACCAATCTTCCACATTTTACTAGATTAGGACTTTAATGAGGGAAAGTTAACTCAATGTAGTCTGTGTTGAGACAATATTCTCACTCCATTAGATGTCAATTCTTTTCAGAGTTCAGATAGCCTGAACATCAGTGAATTCAGTTTAACCCTTTTGCCTCCTAAGTGAAAAAACAAAAAATGGCCATGACCCAATAGGCATCTCTGAAAAAATGTCTTTGAAAAACAAAACAAAAACATTACACGGGTCCCTAATAAATTTTAAAAATTACTTATCTACATTTGACATTTTTTTCAGTACAGGTTAAGATTTATAAATAGAGCATAGCATTACATGGAATACATTGCCCAGGGAATTAAAAAAAGCATATATCGGGTGACTCTTGTCCTGACCTTTATCACTGAGACTTGTGGGAAAACTTGACATCATTTGGTCGTCATGACCCCCTCCCACCCACATGCTATATTTAGTTACTATATTATTATCTTAACCTATTAAACACTAAAGAGACACAGTAGTGTAGCAGCTAGATGCTCACCTGTGGATCCAAAGGTCATTGGTTCACTTTCAGATGGACTTTCCTTTTCCTTTAAAAATGACCTTGGCTTCCAGGTCGACCCAGGTAAAATCCCAGGAAGTCAAGCAGCTGGCATGATGTTGATCACATCACCCAGCCAGTGCCGATTGGTCTATACAAATGTAGGTCTAGCTCTGTATGTCCAATACGCCTGAAGGTGGAGAAAGGGTCCTTGTCTTTTTATTAAAGACCATACATGAGCCCAAAGGACCAATGGAATTTAGCTTCACTTTTCAAGAACGGGTAGTTCAGACATGACCATATATCAGCATTTTCAGTACTGTGTCACAGCTTTGAAATGACGAGATTTAGTCTTCTTGGGTTAAGAAGTTTAAATTCACTCTTCCAGAGAATTTGCTAACCAACAAACAAACAGTTCAGAATCAGCATAAATTGAAAAAAAAAAATGGTCAGCTTCAAAGAACACAAATCAAGAGTGACTTAAAGAATGTTGCGTTAGGCAGCTGTTGTCAGCATACAGAGTCAAAAGGACAATTACAACTAGATAAGTCATATTTCTACAAGACAAAAACAGACAAGTACAGAGGTTATAAAGAGCGTGGGAATGGTGAGATAAAAGTCCAATTCATCTCGACACTGCCTGTTTCTTCTTCTTCGCGTTCACCAGCTGTAAACTCTGGCGGAAGGTTTTGGTTGCTCGCCCACTACTGAACTGCAGTCCTGCTCCAGAAGCTGAGTGTTGCGTGTGCATCAGTTTTACAGATTTCATTCTCTTGAATACAGACTGTTGGATCCTTGCCTCTCCGGCAGATGCACTCCGATTTCAAAGGAAGCTCCCCAATTAGTCGACTCTTACGATATGCTTTTGGGGAGGCAGTGGGTCTATTCTTATTTTTTCCTACAATGGGGCCCCGGAGCCCAAACGGGGGACTGTCTTTAAAAAAAAACAAGTGTCTCCGTACACCAAATTTAATTTTATTTATCAATTAACATGTACGTGCCAGTTTTGCATTGGTTGAACGCAGACTCAACTTGGATGAAGAGTGGCATAAAATATACCCAAATAGCTCTTTGCACAAATGAGTGAAAAGAGAATTGTTTAAAAAAAATTTAAAAAGACAAGTGCAATATTTTGTCAACATAGAAAGGCAGAAAATGGCACATACAACTACACGGATAATATTTTATAGAAATAAAAACAAAGAAGTACACAGGTACCTTAGAGACTGGAAATGAAAAGAGTTGCAGCAATAAATATAAATAAATAAGGGACAGGTACAATATTTTAGCCACATGAAAGGTCTTATGAAAATCATACTGGAGTGAAAAGCTGAAGACAGACATGCAAGAGGTAGATAGAAAAACTGCTAGGAGGATAAGGAGGACATGAAGAGGTGGATGAATAGCAGTCTGTCTGTGTACAACCAGAATAAAGGACATAGTGTTGGAAATCCATTGTAGCTAACCTTAATTTTGGGTGGATGTTGCACCTGATTGATTGACACCACATAAGAAGCTACAGGACAGTCACAAGTTTTTTCTAATGGGAAAAGAGGGGGGGGGGGAGAGTGTCTGGAAATTGGAATTTCCTGGGTTCCACGAAAACACCTAAAATAATAGTGAGTGCACACAATAATCAGCAAACCAGGTGTGGCACAGTGAACCAAGCTTACATATTCAAACAATAATTACCTTCATCAAACAGCGAAAGATAGATGGAATATCTGAGGCTGCACATACACACCACATATCAAGGCACTCACCGAAAGCCTCTTCAAATTCTGACACTGAAAAGCAATAATTGTCCTGATCAAACAGGGATGGATAGATGGAATATCTGAGGCCATAAATACGAACACATACGTAGCACATATCAAGGCATTCACAGAAAGCCTCTTCAAAACCTGACACTGAAAGGCAATACAGGACTAGAGAAGAAGTAAACAGCTAGTTGGACTTGGTCTTATTTTGGAATCCACATATAAGTGAATATTTGTAATTAATCAAAGGCATCCAGATCAACTAGCCTAAGCTTAGTGCCAACAAGTTTTTGGGAAGTAAAGGCAGCTGTTGCGATGTTGACTACATAACCCGTTGAGTGCCAGTTGATCTGTTAAAAATGGAATCTACCACCATATGTCAGGTGTTTTAATGGTCTCAAAAGGATTTTTAACTGTACTGACTTTACTAACTTCTTTGGATAGAGATATAATGTTTTTGTTGTTTGTCCATCACTAGTGATAAAGACAACACTTTCTTGGGCCTGTTAAGCAGGTCTTTCTTGACTGTCTTAAAATTTTCGGATAGACATTGACCAAATAGCCCAGTCTTGTGCAGCAGCTATAGAGATATAGTGCTAGTAATTTCTGACAGCTCTCCATGTAGGTTCGAGGGCCCCATTGTGGAGAAAACAAGAATAGACCCACTGCCACCCCAAACAAGCATGTCGTAAAAGTAAACTAATTGGGGGCTTCCTTCAAAGTCGCATCTGTTGAGAGGCAAGGAACCAACGATCTGCATACAAATTAGTCAAATCTACACAACAGATGTGCACACAACATTTAGGTTCTGGAACAAGACTAAATTCTAGTGGCGGACAAGTAAACAGAACTTTCCCCCGGAGTTTACAGCCAGTGAACCCAAAGAAGAAGAAGACATCTGACAGCAACAACAAAATTCAGTAGACCAACATACCAAATTATTCATGATTGTTTTTATTGTCTTCCCCAGGTAACAATTCCTGTTTTCCCTGCCATTCCACTTGCAAAGAATGCTCTAACGCTGACACCTCCTGCACATCTTGCCCTCGCGGCCATGAGTTGCACCAGAACACTTGTGTCTCTCCAAAAGATAACTACAAGACCAATACGCTTGTGGTAGTGTTGTCTGTAATATCTGCCTTTGTTGTACTGCTAGTTATTCTTGGCATTGTCTATTGTGTGTGTAGAAATCGGCAGCTTTCTGGGTCGAACAAAGTTAAATACGGACAGTTATTGTCAGGAGAAGAAGATGATCTAGTGGCACCCTACAAAGATGAACCAGATGAGGGTTTTAACATCCAGTAGTGCTTATTGTGTGTTGAGTTGGGGCTTTCACAAAAATCTGAATGTGTGTGTAATGAAATACCATGGCATTCAGCATAAATTGTAACATGTTCTTCCATCCTAAAATGTAAATGGATATAAGACACTGAAAATCTCATGGGAATGGTTGCACGGTTAAAATATATTTTTTCTGCCATGTATTATTTCCTAAAGAAGAACAAGTCTTCGGTCATCTCATGCAAACCTTCTAATCCTTCAATATTTCTTGTAGCTTTTTAAATATATTTCTTTTACCTTTGTAAATTATAGAGAAAGGATCTTTTAGCTATACTGTTGACATATTTCTTTTCCACTCTTTCTTGTTATCTTATGTTGTCACAATCGATGTCTTTGTAAATTTGACATTCCCATGCATGCTTAGTCCTCTGATGCAGCAGCCACTCCAAGGTACCTCTACTGATTCTTCCCATGAGGAGTTGGTTATACTATTTCCTGTCTTTATCTCGAAGACGACATAGATTTGCTTCATCAAGCTTAACTCCTCGGTCACACAGTCATGTTAGCGTCAGAGATTCACCATTATCCCCCAACCTAGTCTGACAATGTTGATGAGTGTGTCTTCTCCAGTTCCAGCTTCTTTCCCTTGCCTTTGATTCATCGATTTGTCTATTTCTCCCCATGAGGTTCATGTTGGGGATTCCTTCATACTCAGTCTTGTTCTGCACTAATACTTATTAATAAACACATTCAGTTCTAGGTTGTTGTTACTTCAACACCAGCTATCTCAATGTTGCTTTTGTGTTTTTTTGTGTGGGTACCTTATACCAAAATTAGTCCTACAGAATTTAAAAATACAGCTTTGAGAGAAAGAAGGATTTACAGTTATAAAACTTGATATACAGTGGGTTAACACAACAGAAGAATGTGACTGAAAGTGTATAGTAATGTGCGTTATATAAAGAGTAACCTGTGGATATACTGCACATTACCTGGTATTGAAAACATTTAATGACCTTAAATAATTTATACTGGAAGTTGAAATATTTGTTTTTGACGTACAAAGTATATTTCATGAAATTAATTACATTTTTACTGAAATGAAATACAATTATTCTATATTGCAGGCTGTTTCAGATCATGTCACCACTGTTTGAGATCATTTATTTGGGATCATTTACTTTCATTTTGTTTTTCTTTTGTCTTCACTTCTTCTTTGACCACTTTGGGTATCAAGGGAGCTATAAGCTAAAAAATATGTCTGCTGTTTTAAAACTAAAGTAGTCCTCTAAGAATGTTCAATAATGACCACGGCAACTTTCTTCTTGCCTGAAAAACTTTAGTAACCTACTGAACTTTAGTTGTTTTCATGTCTTCCTTCCAGTTTCATCATTCTTTCCTCCCCCTTCCTTTGGAATTTTCTTCCGTTACCTACAGCTGTAGAAGTAGCCTGTTTTGTAAAAGCTGAGTGGTACCTGCCTCGAGTGCTGGAGGTCCCGCGTTCAGGCTCCGGTTAAGGCTGGTATTTTTTCGCGCGGACTTGTCATAATTTCTCCTGGTCTCTGGGTAGTAAGATCGGACGCCCTTGTGTATTGTTACGCACGTTAAAAAAATCCCTTGGTAGTTGGAAGTCAAAAAGAGTAGCCTAACGGTGCTGCCCGGGCAAAATTTGAAGTTAGCAATCTATCCAAAGTATTTCAGGATGCTGCGGAGTTCATGTACTGCACTGAGATTCTTCAGACTCAGGCTTGAGTTTGAAGTAGAACGGAGCACTTATGGCTTACTACCCTTGTGCCATGATGTTGATCTGTTGTTTAAACCATAAACACACACATCTATATCAGTAGAGAAAGTATGATACCATTAGTAGAATGTCTTTGCACTTGAATCGACAGGGTCATTGGAATAAATGCAGACTTTAAAATAAATGTGAAGGGAATTGGAGAGGGAAGTTAAAAAGATGGGGTAAATGTGAAATGACCGGCTTGCAATTGCAAATAATGGTGCAACTTGACGTGAGTTAGTTAAGCGCCTATGCTCCATTTAGGGATAATGGCAGAAGAAGAAATATTTATATATCATTGAGACCACTTGCAAGCTGTAGAAAGTTACCACCTGGCCAGAATATCATACTCGTGCAATGGTTGCCCAAAATTGGGTTGCACCACACTGACCTGAACCGCTTATTAATTTTTGGCTGTAAATGTTGTGAAATTCTGGACTTTATTTTGAGTCTTCTTATCATCATAAACACATTTGTACTTCCCACTGTCTCTCTTGTTCTACTGATATAGCATTATCTTTCCATCTGGGATCTGCTGTTGATATATTCGCCAAGTTGTGTTTGTGTGGAGCAAATCTGACTGTTGCAAATGTGGTCAACTATTTTAGCTAAAACAGTGGTTGAGTTAGATAATGAAATTGTGATTGTACAAGGTTAATCAGAAATATGGCTACACATTCCAGTGGGCATGTATCAGAAAGCAATGACTGACTTTCCAAATGTTATCAGTTATTCTGTGATGTGAACTGTCAGCAGTTTGAGGCAATTAATTTACTTAGTGTTGTATTTTGTTAGTTTGAAGAATTGCCTTTTGTTAGTTTGAAGAACTGCCTTTCCAACTGGCTCTTTTTAACACCCATATACTGTCATGTAATTAAATGTACATTTATACATGGAGCCACATTTCTGACTTTTAACTATAGTGGTCTTCTTGGTAGGTTGCCATTTTTGCCTATATTAAATGGTTACATTTATTGTGCATTTCTAGAGCCTTAACAGTTTTCTATCCAGAACTGCCTATTTATTATTGAAAAGGGTCTTATCTAATGTAACTTGCATGCCTACCTTGCTCTTTCTTGTGTGAACAGTGTACGTGTGGACTGTGTGTGAACTGTATATATGTGAATTCTAAATGATATGAACTGTGTATGAGTTTCAGTAAAGTGTGGGAGGTCAGTTTAGGGAAGTCATTATGTCAGTGGATGTTGACAAATATTAATTTATCTAAGCTGTGTAAGTTCTGATTTGTGTATTTTACTGATTTTACACACATATACACATATAATACATACATATATACATACATACATACATATATACTTACATACATACATATATACTTACATACATACATACATACAGGGTCTCTCCTCGACTTACACCAGAGTTCCACTCTGACTACTAGGTCGCAAGTCGAATGTATATTGTTCAACAATATTATCATTTACCCTGTGGTTCTAGACAATTTGCCATCTACCGTACGGTCAAGCAGACCCTGGTCACTAGACCCAGCTGTGCTCCAGACATCAGTTCTGGGAACTTATTGATCCTATCAGTGTAGTTATCTTTCTTTGTTAACTATTTTTTTCAATTTATATTATGTAATCCTAAGTGTAGATGGTTTTAAGTGGAGGAAAAATTATATATGCATTGTTTTCTGATGAAGTCATGGATTTCTGTGGTGAGAAGGGTTTGCCTTGTACTCCATAGGTTGTGATTTTGTATCTAGGCTTGCCCCGTGTGGGTTCCGGAACCCATTGTGGGGAAAACAAGAATGGACCCACTTCCTCCCCAACAAGCATGTCGTAGGAGTCGACTAATTGGGGGCTTCCTTTGAAGTCGGAGTGCATCTGCCCAAGATAAACCAACTGCACACAAATAAGCCAGTAAAAAAGATGTCATGCAAAACTTTGACCCTGGCACAAAGCTAAAGTCCAAGTGGACAAACAGCCAGGACTTTCTGCCAGAGCCTACAGCCGGTGAACGAAGAAGCAGAAGATCTAGATTATATATTTCAGTTTGCAAGTGCACATAATTCAGAAATTCCGGGGGGTCAGTGCTAGAGTTTGAACAACACTGAGACTGAGCCATATGGGATACAAGCTGGTGCAGAGAATCATGAATGCCATTTAACTCTTTTAGTCCCAAACAGTTGTTACTTTAACCCCTTCTGTCTGAAGAAGTTGAGCATAAAATGCTTTGGTCTCAGGTTCAGTTGAGGCATTTTGGAACAGAAGAATGTTGAATTAAGAATTGACATCATAGAACTCTGAACACTGTCATAAGCGCTTTGTCTCCATCTTCAGCAGCAATCGAAGAGTTCCAGCAGCAAGGGAAGAGTTCAAATTTCAGTGGTTCTAGTAACAGATTGTACATTCATCTCACCTTTCGCTTAAGTGTCAAGCGTCTGCCAGATCCCCTGGTAAGTCCCCGCAGCACTGTTCTCCTTAGATTGTAATGATCTATTTGTGCCTCCGCACTTTGGGACAGAAGTAGTTGAACTAATAATAATTCAGATATAAGGGGTAGTATAACGTACGTCTGTGATAGAAGATAGAAAACGGGGATTACGTTATCTTGGAATGACCAAGAAAGGTATGGTGAGCTGTTTAGTACTGACAGATTTAAATACCCTTTTGACAGATAGTATTTTTTATGCTGTATGATTCATTTGATCTGATTGATGTAAATCTTATTGACCACTTTTAAAATGTGTATGTGTGCGTGTCTTGTATGCTGAAAATAATTGGCTGAGGAAATTTTTGCTTTTTGATTAAATCATTCAAGTATTTTACTTCTAAGACTTCCATTATGTGAATTGGACCATAGGTGATGTTACTCAATCATTAAATATTGTATGAAACAATATATACCATAGGTATTTTGCAGGCAGATCTTATTTGTTTCATATAAAACTGTTAAATTACCAGATCCTGACAGCAGCTTGTTGAATGGTTACTGTTTGATAAAACATTTAAAGTATTTTTTTTCTAAGACTTCCAATATATGACTGTGAAAAAATACAAGCATAACAGGTAGTTGAATGTTGTATGAAACAATAAGTGTAGTAGACACTTTGCAAACAGATCTGACTTGTTTCA